ATACATTTTCTGCCATCTTGTATTGCATTGTTTCCCAAAGACTGAGTCGCGACCTTCAGGTGGGTCACAAGAGATTTTGTTTGGGTCACCTTGTCATGATCTGCATGTAGGTCTGCAATATACAGCTCTGACACATGTTGATATATTTGGTATAATCTCTAATCTTTTTGTAATTGTTTTATTGACTATTTTGTGCCAATATTGCTGGTTCAATTGAATGTTGAAAAGAAAAATAAATGGGCTACATTTAATGTCCAGATGGGTGACTTATGGATCCGTTTATTGCTGGTTCAATTACTGTTTTTCATTATTTAAAAAGGGGGAGTCAAACTCAAATTCACAGAGGGCCGAAATTAAAAACTGGGACTAAGGTGTGGGCCAAACTAAATATTTATTGAAAAATTTTAACAGCATCGGCATGTTTTCTCTTCTTTCGAGATATGTAATGTTAAACCTTTTCGTATTAAGATAAATGTTTAATAAATGTTTTGCTTAAACACTAAATCCAGAACAAGCAAAATATAAAATAATAACAAAATTTTAAATAAATAATGTCTCTGTAGCCGGCGGGCAAGATGTAATACATATTTGATATGATCTCACGGGCCAATATTGCGGGCCAAATTTAGCCCCCGGGCCTGAGTTTGACATGTCTGGTTTAAAACTTGAATAATACTAATTGTTCACAGAGACACGATCACTCAGGCAATTCAGTTCAGCCAGTTCAATAATGGCCAAATCCACCTTTATTTTGTGATTTATGAATAATGTCTACTGACTTGGGTCACGAAGATTTGTGACTCTTGAAATATGAGTCCCTAGAAAAAGTTTGGGAAACACTGTTATGTTGTATTCTTTTCTATATGTTAACAAGGTTAGACAGAATAAGTGTTCATGGTGCATTGTGTAACTTTTCTTGCCACCTGTTTTTCTCCATGGAGATGTTATTGGTTTGTCTGGAATGTTTCACAGTATAGTATTAAACCTTTCCATCAACATGGAGACCAAACCAGTCAGATCTGTGGAGTGGCAATCCCGCTCACAGTCAGAATAGGTATTTTTGAACCATCTGTAATTGAATAAATGTAAGGTAAATGTCGTAGTGCAGAACATTTCAGGCAAAGCAATAACATCTCAAACAAGAAGGTAACAGACCCCCAACCTAAAAGTTACACAGTGCATCTTTAAACTTCAGCCTAAACCACTTCAGTCCACTACAAATCTCTTTAACATGATTAATAATTATGCCAAATAACAGAGGAAAATTAACTAACTACTGTCATATCAAAGAGTGTATAAAGAAGTGGATTAAGGGAGTGTAACGTCACCCATAGTGTTCAGTTCCAGTCAAATGAAACTCACCGAGGCTATAGTTCTAGAAGTGAATTTGGAGCCGAGTTTCATATTAGGAACAGGAATTTATTTACGAATAAAATAGCTAAATAAAAACACCAGGATCATGTAGAGTGAGATAATACGAACATTTTAAGACCAAATTGACGAGGCTCAGTGCAGCAGTTACAGAGAGAGGAGACAATTTGTCAACGTCAAGTAAACTGGAGCCTGAGGTTCACTTCCTATTTTGAACACGGCAGCTAGTGGGTTAGCTAAGTCCACTCCTACATACAGACTGTGTGACATTTAGCAAGTTTTATTTCAAACAGAGACACTCGTCAACAAACTGAATATGGAGGCAGGGTGCATTAGATGTTTTGATGGCACATAATGACATTCTCAGAAGGGACGGCATAGAAATGATAATTACAAGTCCATCAAGGAGGTAATGTTTCCCCTTGTTTGGTTAAAATAAAAAAGTTCAGTATTCATTTTCTGTTTAGAGGTTCAGATCTCCTACTGTGTTTTGATTTGCTAGTTGCTATGGCACTGCTCCTACTTTTTCATCAATTTGAAAACAGTATATGTTGGGAATCACACAAAATTTATAGTTGCAACCCTGGCTATATTTCAAGATCAGATCATCATTGTTCATTAAAGGTGCATTGTGTAACTTTTCTGGTGAAGGGTCCACCATCGGCTTGTCTCCACAGAGATGTAGTTGCTTTATTTGGAATGTCCCAGTGTATGGTATTAAACATATTTATCTTGCATTTACTCAATAACATGGGTTTTTATTGACTTAAAAACTTGCATTCTTACTGTGTTTGGGCTCGCATCTCCACAGATTTGACTTCTAACTTGGCCCTATGGTGTCACCTGCTGCCTCTGTAGAGATAAATATGTGTAATGCCATACTGTGGAACATTCCAGGCAACATCTCCACAGAGACAAATTGATGACGGATCCTCCTCCAGAAAAGTTATTATTTTTATTACTGCTTATTTTATTTTTTTTTATTTTTTTTTTTTTTATGTTTTATAACTCTAAAAAATTTAATAATAATCCAATTTTGAGTGTGCATGTAACCAGCTGGTGTAACTCGCAAAGCATGAAAATAAAAAATAAGTCTGTCATAATATAATCTTCAATTATATTATTTAAGATTACCTGTAATAAATCTGAAGTATGAACTAGGATTATTAAAACGAACTCAAAAGCAGAATGAAAACAAACAAACAGTCCAAAATAATGATCAAATAACAATATGAAATGTGATGGATTCCCACTTCAGGGTCTTCCACTATCTTATTCTTGGTGCTTTTGGGAACTTTTTATTTTTCAAATTGTTTAATCTGGAAATGACTTTCTTTGAATAATAAATTAGTTGTTACTTTGGAATGTATATAGAATTTACACTTCATTAGATCCCGACAAAGCTAGCACGATGCAGCTTGAAGACATTTTGATAAAGTACACCAACAAATCCAAAATGTTTCATATAAAATATTGACTTTACACATTTCCTTTGTCATTTTGGTGTAATTATTGTTTTTGTGTGAGCCATACAGCCTTTTCTGTGTGATTCATGTACTATCACTGAAGATGGTTTAAATACATGATTAGTTCTGATTAATTGGTGATCTTGTTTCAACCCTATGAAACCTTGGAGATAATTCAAATGATTATTTCTTATTATTTATTTATAAACTAAAGGATGTACAGTCTTTTGACCTTAGCCAAGTATGAATCAGAGAAAAGGCTGGCGTCACACTTGTGCAGTTCTTTTTGAGGACTTTAATGTTACATTTTTAAAAGGTCCAGGTCTCACTGTTCATCAGAGGCTGAAATGTGTGCATGTAAAGAGATAGTCTAATATAATATTGTAACACTCAGTCTTGAATCTTTTGCCTAAAGCCTCAAAAACTGCAGCAGGTCTTACACGGTTAGTTTAAAAAAAATTAAATAAATAAATATCACTTTTTCTCACTTGTTATCACCTTCAAGCCATAAATTCAGTAGACTTTAAATGGATGAAAGCCGAACCTGTTATCACATTTCAGACATGAAATGAATAATTATTAATTATACATTATAGTATATAATAATATGGGTAAAATTTAGTTATTGATAGTCTGATATGTCATAAATAATTATGTAAAAAGTAAAGATGTTTTGATGAACACAACGCACAAAATTCAGTTACTGGGTTTTCTTAAAGAAAGAGGAAAACGTAGAAAGAGTGTTTTCCTTCCTGACCACACAGTGTGTTCTAAAACCATGAAGTTATTTTTACTGAGCTGCAGATCAAATGAGTCATTTGTGGGAATTTGTGGTTGGCACAAAACAGAAGATGATATAACCACTTCTATAGCCACAGTATCTGTACCTACAGGAGAAACTCGTGTCTCGAGTGCTGGTTTAGTGCTTGGACTAATGAGCTCTTTACTGTGCTCACAGAAAAGGCACAGGCTCAATGGTTAGAGAATACATCCACCAAAGGATCCCAGGGCAAACCTCGCTCTGATCACTGCTGTGTCCTTGGGCAAGACACTTCACCCAACCTGTGTGTGAATGTATGAATGATAGGTGACAGTGCAAAGTAGCTGCCTCTGCTGATTCCATCAGTGTAGAGAACATATTTTAATACTGTGGGTCTTTTGTAGCCTGATCAGACCAAACACAAGTGATCTGAAAGTGGACCAGGCGCACAAGTGAAAATACTGTGCCCTGTACTCACAGTGGCGCAGTAGGCATTATTTCCATGTATTATATATTCAGTCATTATGTTAAAGACATTTTATTGAACAAATGACTCAGACTTGTATTTTCCACAGGGCCTTATTATTCCTGACAGTGGAGGATCACCTCACTTGACAGTACTATACTTTGACTTTGGAGCTCTGGGCTACTAGATATTTACAGATGAAAGCACTGGTCAGTGATAACTGGGGATAACTCTCAGATTTAAAATAGTGACCAGTGAAAAGGAATTCTCTTCAGAATATATTTATACAAAAGCAGCTTTCCGCCCTGTACACAAATATTTCTCTTATATGAAGCCTTTGGTGTGTGTAAATATGTGCCATTAAAATCAATTAGTAAACTGAGCTCCACTTTATTCTTACACATAAACACCCACACACAGGGGAGAAACACAGAGAGGCCCGGTTGGACCCACTATAAAACCCACCAGTGTGCTCAAGACCTGGAAATGGGTTGCCGCTGCTCCGGACAGTTGCCCAAGCAACACTCAAGGACGGGTCAAATGCAGAGGACATATTTCCCTACTGAGACCTTAACCTTAATTCATGTTATAAATGAGAGTTTTAAATAGTTGTGTTAGATTTTGAGTGTTCACTAAAATGTGGAAATATAAATATGTGCTACTGTGAATAATATTCTCGTGCACAAGCGTAACAGAGCACAAGCACTACAGAGGAGCAAGAATCCATGGGCCCAAAGAAGACACCAAGCCCCCGCTTCAATAGTTATAACAAAAATAAAAGAACCATTTAGTTTTATTGAATTCATCTGATCAATGAAATCAGAAAACAATCGATAAACTCATTTGATTGATTGGTAAATGAAAGACTATTGTCATTTTCTAAATATTCACATGTCATTTACAGTCAGTCAAACTAGCATTATAATCTTTTCAGCTGTTCAGATGATGTTTTAGTCACAACTTGGCTTGACCCAAAATAATAATAATAATAAAAAACAAGATTCATATTTTAATCAGAAGAGCAGGACAGCAGCTCCAGATTCCACACACAATCACTAGTAAGTTTCTCTGGGAATAGTATTTATATAACACGGAAATACAGAAATACAGATATAGTCATTAACCAGATTCAGTTCTCAGTATGTTACCATTGCCAACATTGTCATAATATTGGGAGAATAGAAATTGTGGCTTTCATTTCAATATATTCATAGATCCATTTGTATATACTGTGCGTATTTAACTATTTATATATATTAGAGTTTGTAGTGGTTCAATGTCCAAAGTCCCACTTTGAGGAATAAGCAAGGAAGGATCCAAGCAGCAGCAGGATAGGAGACACACGAGGAGTCAGAGGAGGCACAGGCGCACATGGAGGTCAGGGCTACAGTGAGGGAAAGTTGGTTTGAACTGACATAGTCCAAGAGAGGAAAACCACAGGAAAGCAGAAAGGCATGAGAAAATGACTGAACAAAAATATTATGAATTTATGGCACAACGGTGGACAACGTGAAGTCTGCACACATGCTAAGATTACAGATAAGACTGAGAGAGTATAGCAAAAAAGTCACTGAGGACTGCAGCAAAATATTTCCATGTCATTTCTGACTTTTGGAAGAATTCTCTTCATAAGCATGTACAGCAGCTGTACCAGCAAACTAGACCTATAGTGCAGAGCAAGAAGGCCCATGCTCCCGAACACTATGGGGGAGGTGGGGATAGGCCAGTACAAACCAGTAGTGGTTATATCAGGATGTCTTTTTATGAAAGTTCACATTGTCAAACAAACAATCGAGAGTGTAACAGCCTAATGACAAAACTTAGCAGCAAGACACATGTGCCCTTAGAGAGGAGCGGGGACTCTATCTGCCCTGCAGGAGCAACCGAGAGCAGGGGCTTCAGACTAACATCCTCTGTATAGAATAAACAGAGGACTCAGGTTATCGTTGTTATGATTTGGTAAAATACAAGGGAGGACATAAAAATAGATGTCCTGCTCATGTCTAGAGATGAACTGGCTGCACCCTGGTAGTCCAGAGTTTCTACATAATAAGACTTCTGAAATTGTGAAACCTTTGATAACAGGCTATAAACAGCACATCAGGGGAAAGTGCACATGTTTTTATATCAGTGAGGAGGGCTCCCTCATAAAACGTGTTTTGGCTTCAGAGAACAAACTGGTTCAAAAATCAGTGCAAGTCAATCAAACATTTGAAAAGCCCACTGTACACTTGAATGTAAGGGTAGATTACAGAGGTGTGGCGATGGGAACACTCAGGCTTTTGATCACTCCTAGAAATGATTAATTGCCCTTTTCAGTGGAGAATAAAAAAAGGTTTATTCTGTCCAAAGCTGCAGTAGGCACACAGAAACAGTGAGTGGAGCAAATGGATGAGAGGATGAATCGTAGAGGAAGAGAGGTGAAGAAGCTGGCTGCCAAAGCATGGCCTTCCTAATCTCTCTGAGTCATGCTCTTGGATCTATTTTTGCACTTAAATATCTCTCCTCCGGCCTCCCCCTCTTCAGCAGCGCTCCAAAAAGTCTATAACGTTCCTTTTCTTCCCAGAGTCTACTCTTCTTCAGTATTTGTCCTGTCCCCAGCCGTTTCTTCTGTCCACCTCCCCTCAGCTCCTCTGCCTCGCACACGCCCTCTACATGGGGAACACCAGAAAACCCGAGAAGGTGGAGTACTTCCATCCGCCCATCAGGTGGCCTCGCTCCAGTTTGAGGTAGGCTCGGTCGCCCTTCTCCATCTGGATCAGAACGCCGTTACTGGCCGCTTCACGTGTCACATCCTGGTCTCCGGCGAAACCTGAGATGACTGGCCAGCCATTGTGCATCAGACTCACCTACAGACGAGAGAGAAAAATAAGAAATTCTACAGTGTCTGATTCCACACAGCACAAATACTTCATAGTTTAAAGGGAGCTCAACAGCACCTCGTATCAAACTGTGAGCGTCACTACTTCCTGTCCAATTGTACATCTATGAGGTTTTTGCTCATTGCGTGTGTTGCGACTCAGCGTGTGGTGAGCAAAGATTTATATAAAAGACAGTGTATAGGAAGCTGCCAACATGCTAAACACTGGACAGTGTTGCTTTTAGAAAGAGAGATGTTTATGTCTCAATGCTAACACTAATGCAAATTTCGAGGCATAATAAATATTAAAACAAAGCCACAATTGTTTATACTGGATATTAATTTATTAGAATTATAATAAGTTGTTTATTTAATGTTTTATGGTTTGCATCACATTGCACTGTGTAACGCTTCTGGTGGAGGGTCCATCAAATGCTTTCCTCCATGGAGATATTTCACAGTATAGCATTAAACCTTTCTGTCTTCATGGCGACCAAATTAGACCAAGTTACAGGTCAGATCTGTGGAAAGTCAAGTCCACTCTCAATCAGATTACCTGCTTTTCTAGGTATTTTTGAGCTGTAAAACCACCTATAATTGAATAAATCCTCATTGTCCCCTTCCTCCCATCACCTCGTTCACTTTCCTCATCCTGTCATCATCCCCTTCATTCTCGTCATCCTCTCACCGTCCCCTTCACTTTCCTCATCCTCTCATCATCCCCTTCACTCTCATCATCCTCCCATCACTTCGTTCACTTTCCTCATCCTGTCATCATCCCCTTCATTCACGTCATCTTCTCATCGTCTCCTTCACTCTCCTCATCCTCTCATCATCCCCTTCACTCTCATCATCCTCCCATCACTTCGTTCACTTTCCTCATCCTGTCATCATCCCCTTCATTCACGTCATCTTCTCATCGTCCCCTTCACTCTCCTCATCATCTCATCGCCTCCTTCACTCTCCTCATCCTCTGATCGCCTCCTTCACTTTCCTCATCCTCTCATCATCCCCTTCACTCTCCTCATCATCTCATCGCCTCCTTGACTTTCCTCATCCTCTCATCATCCCCTTCACTCTCCTCATCCTCTCATCACCTCGTTCACTTTCCTCATCCTGTCATCATCCCCTTCACTCTCCTCATCATCTCATTGCCTCCTTCACTCTCCTCATCCTCCCATCACCTCCTCACTCTCCTCATCCTCTCATCTGCCCCTTCACTTTCCTCATCCTTTGATCACCTCCTTCACTCTCCTCATCCTGTCATCATCCCCTTCATTCACGTCATCTTCTCATCGTCCCCTTCACTTTCCTCATCCTCTCATCGTCCCCTTCACTCTCCTCATCATCTCATCTCCTCTTCACTCTCCTCATGCTCTCATCATCCTCTTCACTCACCTCATCCTCCCATCACCTCCTTCACTTTCCTCATCCTCTCATCATCCACTTCACTCTCATTATTCTCTCATCGTCCCCCTCACTCTCCTCATCCTCTCATAGCCTCCTTCATTTTTCTCATCTTATCATCGTCCTCCTCACTCTCCTCATCCTGTCATCACCTCCTTCACCCCCTTGCTACTAATAGTTTCTCTTTGTATTTCTCTGAGTTTCTGCAAGTTGAATTTATGTTTGACAAAAATATAAAATGTGTATGTAACTTGTTTTTGTTTTTTTTGTGTTTTTTTTTTTTATTTTTATTTTTTTATCAATAGCAGGTTTACTCTACCAAAGAGTATAATCTCTGAACCATTGCACTTTCATTAGATTCATTAGTTTTTTCTTTTACATTCTTCTTGGATCTTGCCTCCAGTGGGCTGTATCAGAGAAGTGTGAAAAGGATTCTATCTCCAACCACAGGGGATTCATTTGTTTGGGTTTTTTGTGGTTTAAGGGACAAATTAGTTTCAATCACTGTGAAACGTAGTGAGTCTAGTTAGCTCTGGGGGAATTTTATTGTGCCCACACTATTGTAAAATGAAACATAAGTCACCTACACAAAATTCTCCCGTTGGCTTAAAATAACATGGTTCCAGCTCCTGTTAAAATCACAATATTAGAATGATCCGTCTAATATGCACAATAATGTAGATACACATAACTGCAAGTGTGAAAATATGTTTGCCTGACCAGCCAGTCCCTTCAACAATCTGTTCAAATTCAGCTTGTATCACGTGTCTTTCAAATGCGGAAGACAGTTCCTCTCGAAAACTCTCCTAAGTTGGTCAAAGTGTGGGGTTCTGGGTGGTCAGTAACAAATATGTCCCAGAATACACTCACTGACCTCCATCAGCTTGAGCTCACCACTGTTCAACATACTGTATTATTAACCACATAATACAGTAGGAGAGGGATCAAGTTATCACTCAAATAATGTGTTGGAACCAGATTCGAGCACAAAAGGCTTGTGGATCATCAGGCATATTTATACACATATTTGATTGGCATAGTGACAGTTCTGGTGCCCCTGAGTTGTAGCTTCAACAATTAAGTAAGTCTTTATTTATATAGCGCTTTTCACAGACATTTTCTGTCCCCAAAGACGCTTTACAGAGCATTATTCAGCATTATTCATTCAGCATTCTTTCATTCACTTTATACCCTGGTGATGGTAAGCTACTATTGTAGCCACAGCTGCCCTGGGGCACACTGACAGAAGCATGGCTGCCATGCCACTCGGCGCCATCGGTCCCTCCGACCACCACCATCACTCACACACACACCACTTTCATACTAGGCAATGTGGGTGAAGTGTCTTGCCTAAGGACACACAATGATTGAATTGATTATATTTAACTGATCTTGACTATCAACTGTTTATGGAGACCTGTAGCATGTTTTGGGTTGATGGGAGAAACCGGAGAGCCCAGTTGCTGCATTTCCTGAATCAACTTCTAATTCCAGTTTCAGTTTCTCAGAGCAACTAAAAATGTTTGTGGGTGAATTACAATAAATGGGTGTTCAGTGTTTCTTCTTATGCATATAATATGGCTATAAAAATGTAATATTCAAAGTAACTAACTTCTTAAAGGACTATTTCATAAGTACAACAGAGTATTTCAAGCACTAACACTCTTTCAGGAAGGAGATTTGAGTGAATATTTTTAAGCTTAAAACACAAATTTACAAGAATGTGATTTTTCTTGCTAATGTGTGTTTAAACGATCTTAGTTTTTCATCTTTAAAGGGACTTTAATAATCCATCATGCACATAAAGAAGAGTGTAAAAATGTTGTTAAATATAAATATATTTTCAAAAAACACATTATCACAAAACATTGTCATCTCTCAGTCGTAGGTGTCTTATTGAAAAATGAAGAAAAGCCCAACAAAGAGTGAATTGTTTCGTGCACATTGTTAATTAATAGAGTTTAAATTGTGTGAATTAAAAATGTTTCTCAACACTCTACAATATGGAGATCTATAAATGTACATATTTCTCCCTCTGTTGGACTACAGTGACAAACAGCCCATAATTATACACTCTTCGGGCTCATTTATGTTGCACTGGTGAGAGAGTGAATGAGTGTGTGTGGGATCTGCAGATGGAGAGCCTGTCACAGTCAAGAGCCCTCTTGGCCCGGTCCTTCTCTTAATAGCAAACTGAACACAGCAGCGCCTCAGACTGCCAACGTGAAGAGAGCCTCCGCCGCTACGTGAATGTGATGAAAACACTCAGACAACACTTAAATCATTTTTGAAATTATCAGGACCAAAACACTGCACAGGTCACACTCAAATGTCATTTCCCACCAGTGACTGTTTTGGCTCCCGAGGCCGTCTGCTTCATCTAAATCACCATCATATAGCCATGTGCTGAGTGGCCAATTATAAAGGCTTTAATAGCTTCAGAGCAGCACATTCTCCAGGCTGCCCACCGGAGACACCACAGGAACTAACTTTTATACTTAGCTGTTTTTTCATAAGCGGCCTGTCTAGTTTCACAATGATGAAAAATGAGGGCTGTTATCATAGCATTTAACATTTAACAATAAAACTCTTGTATACATATGCATTTATATAATTATGCCTTATTTGACACCAGTCTCAGTTATTTTTGCTACTTATTTTGAATTTAATATTACTATTTATATTTTTGTGGTCTGTTACCATGGCATTTAGCGATTTTAAACAATAGATTGTATATTCTGAATGGTGAAAATTCATCAAAATGTTACAGGAATTTGCTATTTTTTTGTATACCGTTTATCTTTAAGTTTCACAATGATGAAGAATGAGGACTGCTACCATAGCTCTTAACAATTTAAAACAACAGATTATAGATTTTGAATGTTGAAAATTCATCAAAATGTTACAAGAATCTGCTATTTTTCATATACTGTTTATTCATAAACTTCACAATGATGAAAAATGAGACTGTCACCAGCAGTATACACTTTAAAACAATGGATTATATATTTTATATGGTGAAAATTCTTCAAAATGTAACAGGAATCTGAAAGTCATAAATGTGCTTTTCTGTGTACGTGGTTGTATATGTGGTTTATGATGTATAGGTATTTTGGATCATGTTTTAAAAGATGAATGAAAAAAATGGTCAATTACGTCACTTCTTCTAGAGAGAGGTATATCCAAATCAAAAATTGTGTGAATCACTTCTATGTAGGCTGCCACGATAATTATTGACTTATCGTTCAATATATAATAGATGGAACAATCATTTTTGGTGGTCAATGTGTACTTTTCTTTTTCGGTTCAAAGAAAAGATTAATGGATTGGGGATAATCATGCGTTAGGGTTGTGTCATGGCTGTTTATGCTTATTTATTAAATATGGGCCAGTGCACATTAATTAACACGTGTTATAGCATGTAAATGGGCCATGCATGAGTTAGCCATGAAGGCTCATTTTCACTCTTAGTCCCATTGGCAGTTTGACGACAATACAGAAAAAAGGATGTAACAAACACACATCACTCAGTCCATACATTAGTTTCAATATTATGGTTCATCACATATATTTTATTCAGTA